TGTAGTAAAAATAGTAAAAAATTCCTATTTTTTAAAATTTTCACTGGGAGATACATATTTATTTAAAAAAATTTTTTTGAATTTTGAAAAAAATATTTTCCCAAAAATTGAAAAAATTTTTTGCATGTTAAGAAAAATTGACAAAATTTTTTGAAAAATTGCAAGTTTTTTCGAAAAATTTTGAAAATTTTTGGTAAAAAATCGAATTTTTGCGAAAAACAACCAAAATAGGTGACAAAAATAACAAAAATTACAAAATAGGTTACAACCTATTTTAGGTTTCAAAACTCCAAAATAGGTTTGAATAGGTCATAATAAGTCCGCATAGATGTAAGATATTCAAAAAATAACAACGGATTTGAGCTCAATTCATCATAACTATTTCGCAGAAAAAATAGGTTATAACCTAAAAATCCGGTCCCTAGTCATAATACTCCAAAAAGCCAATTTTTATTTAAAAAGTTTTGATCCAAATCTATGAAATTTACAACCTCAAGATGTTGTAAGATTAATTACCCTAAGTAATTTCTCCTGAAAATTCTGGTTAGATTATAAAGATAAATTATAGAGCTGTCGGTTAGAAGCCGATCTTCGGTTAGCCGGATATCCGAAAATTTTCAAAGAACCAGAAACCCTTGCATTTATTAATTTTTTATGTTTCTCAAAGTGTTCTAAATAAAAAAATTTTTTTTTATAAATTTTTTAACATTAAGCTGAAAAGAATACAAAACTACACTGCTCCACATAATTATAAGTCCACCCCTTTTTTCGGGATTTTTTGACTCCCAGTGATCCAAATTTTCTGAAAATTTAGAAACACACCTTTTAGTGAATAACTAACAAGGTGTGATTCGATTTTTGGCTGAATTTTTATTTAAAAAATTTTTAGACCAAATTTTGTGTTTTCGGCCTCCACAAAATTATAAGTCCACTTTTCAAAAAAGATATTTCCAAGTTTAGGAAAAATCTACAAAAATTCTCGCAACAATATATAATGATATTATGAAAAAATAAAAAAGAACTAGACCCATATCTTTACCCTGAGCCGAGATCCTGAGACCCCGAAAATCAACGTAAAACGGGGGTAAGGATCTTTAAAAAAATTTTTCGACCTCTTATCGATTATTTTCAATTTTGGTTTTAGGCTCATTCGACAGCCCTTGAAATTTGCTACAAGAAAGCAATAGTCTTAATTTTCAGAAAAATTCCTTAGAGAGACACAAGACGATAATCTTCTGATGCAGCAAAAAACGTCTAAATGCCCCATAAAATGCCCTATAACGACGATTAGAAATCTTATCGTCTTGTGTCTCTCTAAGGAATTTTTCTGAAAAATAAGACTATTCCTATCTTGTAGCAAATTTCAAGGGCTGTCGAATGAGCCTAAAACCAAAATTGAAAATAATCGATAAGAGGTCGAAAAATTTTTTTAAAGATCCTTACCCCCGTTTTACGTTGATTTTCGGGGTCTCAGGATCTCGGCTCAGGGTAAAGATATGGGTCTAGTTCTTTTTTATTTTTTCATAATATCATTATATATTGTTGCGAGAATTTTTGTAGATTTTTCCTAAACTTGGAAATATCTTTTTTGAAAAGTGGACTTATAATTTTGTGGAGGCCGAAAACGCAAATTTTGGCCTAAAAATTTTTCAAATAAAAATTCAGCCAAAAATCGAATCACACCTTGTTAGTTATTCACTAAAAGGTGTGTTTCTAAATTTTCAGAAAATTTGGATCACTGGGAGTCAAAAAATCCCGAAAAAAGGGGTGGACTTATAATTATGTGGAGCAGTGTATTTATTTCTCATTGTGGACAGAATAGTTTAATTGAGGTTATATGTATTATTTGTTATAAAATTATTAAATTTGGAAATCTTGAGGTTTTGCAAAATGCCCATTTTCTGTTTTCGTTCAATTAATTGAATTCGGGGACCCTAAGGAAACCCCCCCCCAATTCTGTCAAAGTTGACAACCCTTGAGGATAATTTTTATTAGGTAAAGTCATTAGTCGACAGCCATTTACATGCTGTGATAACAAGCTGTCTCTGAGGAGAGAAAAGAAAAAGACAATAAGAGTGTCGCAAAAGCTGCTATTCTTAAAGAAGAAATAGTATGAGTTAATTTAACTCAAATATAAAAACTTTTATTTAATTCACTCTAATTAACATAAATAACTAGAGATCGGATTTTTGCGCCATACATAACTATTTAAGGAAAGAAAAGGTTATTACCTAAAAATCCGCTCCCTACTAATAACCATATATTAAATTCAATTTTAAAGGCAATGTATGCAGGTGTTCCTCTAATTTGTATTCCTAACGCGCTTGATCAATTCTACAATTCCTCCATTGTAGAATATTTTGGTATTGGAATTTATGTAAAAATGCTAGGAATAGATGAACGTTATGATATTGATGATAAAAATGCTAAATTTGAATATGATTTTATTAAAGCCTTCAATGAATTTTTTGGCCATGAGTAAGTTTAGTAAAGATTTGGAAAAAACAAAGCCAATTTGGCAACCCTGGCATTTTTCCTTTCAATTTAATATTTTTTCTAAATCCTCAAAGTAGCTCAAGTTTGGAGAGACAGGCCTTCAATAACTCTTCAATTCCAGACATTATAAAGAGTTAATTAAATATATATTTAGCAAATATCAAAAAGCTGCAGATAATTTGAGAGAAAATATTCTTTCACAATATTACAATGGCCCCAAAGCAAAAGACATTTTAATTGGAAAGATTTCGGAAGTTATCGGTGATTGAGGGAATAATTAAGAATTAAAGAGAAGATTGAGAGAGTTTTTTTGAGATTTTGTTTTCATAATTTACTACATGTTTTGGGGTTTCAGCCTTTTTAGTTAAAATTTGTTTGAAATAAACTAAAATTTTTTAATTTAATTTTTTAATTAAAATTTTGTTTTGAAAATCAGAGCGTGTACACGCGAACGAGCCGTCACGATTCTCGAAAATCTGGAATCCTCTAAGTTTTTCGGGTTGGGAATCTCGACTTTACGAAAGGGAATTAAAATTTCATTTAATTCCTGATTGCCGTTTTTTTTCTCGGGAATTCACATTCTCGATTCACGAATTGGGAATTGCGGCGCTGACAATGGAAGAAGTATGTGATATGTCGGAGCATTTGCATGATCAAAGCGGATTTGGATTAATATCTGAAGAAATTATAGGAGTGGTTATTAGATGGGTTAAAGGGAATATTGAGGGATATGGGCGTGATATCGAGGGATAAAGAGGTTTATGTGGGAAAGAAAACAGGACATCAGTCCGTCAACTGAAGATACGGGTTTGCTCCAATTCGTCGATTAACCTTTAGCAATAGCTGAAAGGAGGAATGGCCATAGCCAGCCTATATTAATATTTTATTTAAATTTTACTAGTCTTTTTTTATTAATTTTAATGATAGGATTCTTTATTTTTTCAACAAAATTTTTTTTCAAACCGTAATTTCTAAAATTGGACCTTTCAAATTATTGTCAGTTTTTCTATTTTTATAAAAATTTTATTTTTTAAATTCTATCAAAAGTAACAATTTTTTATTACATTTACAAAATTAATATTATTTAAAAATTAATTTTATTTAAAAAACTTTTAATTTTAGCAATAAAATATTTTCTAAATAAATTTAAAGATTTTTTTAATTCTGCAAAATCCCAAACTTCCCTCTCCTTCTCTTTTTACCTATTAAATAAAATTAAAATAAAATCCCATTTAAAAATTTTTGCAACTGCCAAATCTGCCCACTCATTTCCTGTCATATTTCCGCCTTCCACTATTAAAATTTTCTATTTAATCCCCCCTCCCTCCCTCCCTCCCTCTCCACCTCCTCCTTACCTCCTCCTCTATCCATTCACTCTCATTTTTTTTAAAAATTTTTTAAATTGATTTTTATAAATTTTTTAAATCCATTCACTCTCATTTTTTTTAAAAATTTTTTAAATTGATTTTATATAAATTTAAAAAAAAATTATTTATTATTTAAATTTTCAAAGAAAACCTCCTTTGAAAAAAAAATTTCAAATGAAAATATTAACTTCAAAGTTAATTTTTCCTTTGTTATTTTTATTAGTATTAGATTTAAAAGGTTAGTTTAATACAAATACCGTAAATCCCTAAAATAAGTCCCGGGCTTATTTTTTCGATCGACCTCTAGAGGGGGCTTATTTTAGAGGGGGGCTTATTTTGGATATGCCTTTAAGTTGGAGATAAGAAAAAATGTTTTAGATTATTATCTCTTTGTATATATCAAAGGGAATATCGGAGGATTAAGGTGAATATTGAGACCTTTAGAGGAAGCATTTTGTGTTTTGGGAATTAGTAGGGATATCAACGGATTTTGGAGGATTAAGAGATGTCGGGAGAATAAAGGTTAAAAAGCATTTCAGAAGTTAAAAGGGTTATTAATGGATTTGATGGGATTTAGAGGATATAGCGAAGAATTTCCCAGATATCCGTTTTTATCTTTCGAGATCCATGACTCCATTTAATCCTACGATATTTCTACAAATGTTCGAATATCTCTGATATCCAACAAAATCCCCGGATATCCGTTCAAACCATCTTAATCCAATGAAACAAATAATCCTTGAAATCATTGTTAATCACCGAAATCTCTCTTGATCTACAGAAATCCCTCTTATTCCCCCGATATCTTTCCTAATCTCACTTAATCTTCATTATTCATATCCGATATCGCTATTAATCACCTCGAATCCCTCGATATCCATGTACGTTGATCCCTTTATATACCTGCTAATCTTCCAAATATACTCTTAATCACTTCTAATCCTTCTATATCCCTCCATTGAGACTCAACTGAGGGGACACAACAATTAATCAACAATTAAAAATTTATGTGAGAGGTGGCTTATTTTAGAAGGGAGGCTTATTTTAGAGGGGGGGCTATTTTAGAGGATTTACGGTATATTCTTTCATTAACTGACTTTTAAAAGCAAAAAATAAATTTAATTTTATTTAAGGATTGGATGCTGGTAATAATTGTAAAGGCCAAAATGCTACGGGTAGGGGAGATCGAAGAGCGGAGAAAGGAAAGGGCCCAATGAAAGATGAAGAGAAAAAAACTGGTAAAGTCAATTTGAGTGCAATTCACATCTATGATAACGAAGGCGAATGTAAGTATAGTAAAGTGGTTGGTCCCGTATCCCAGTGTCTCGGGGGTTGGGGGTTTGTTATTCTAAGCAAAGTTGCGCATGTTGCAATCTACTCTCCAGAGTATAAGAGATAGGTTATGCATTATATAGAGGGAACTCTTCCTTACGTGTCGACGCAGAAGACCCACAGACAGAAGACCCAAGGACAGAAGACCCACAGACAAAAGACCCACAGACAGAAGACCCACAAGGACAGAATACCCACAGACAAAAGACCCACAACTATTTTTTGTTTCCCTTTTATTGTGCATAAATTTTGGCGCGAGGGATGTTCCACAATAAGGGGTTGATCCGACCACGGGCATGTTATTTTAACAATGGGGAATGTATTTTAACAATGGAGAAGTTGTTCCAACGTTGGGAATATTGTCCCAATTACCGGAGAGCTTGTTTAACGAAAGGGATCTTGATTTTCCGGATTATCGGGATTTTTATCCGGAAAATCCGGTCCATGTCGTGTCAAAAAATCTTATACGATCAGGTTCAGATATAAAAAAAATAGTATAAAAACAGATAATTAGCGTTACAAAATTCTTAGAATTCGGACCTGTATCGCTAAAATGGTAAACTCGCTTCTTGGCCATTCAAAATTTCCAAAAGTCTCGTCTGTGACGATGAAAGGAAGAAGTAGATCAAGGGGATATTTGAATCAAGGGGTATTTAGGATTAAGTGGATTATAGCGAGAGTCAGTTAAGTCCACATGGAGGGATATAGAAGGATTAGAAGCGATCAAGGGCATTGGAGATATGCAAGGATATCGGGGATCTTTGGGATAATAGAGATTAGTTAATTATTTCTGAGTAACATTGAGAGATATCGGTGGATAAAGGCGGATTAGTGGTAAAAGCTTAGAAGGTTTACATCCCTTGAAATTTTCTGACATATCCGATTTACTGGCAAGAAAGATAGTATTCATTCTTCTGGTTCTTGTTATACACAATTCACGGATAAGAATAGATATAGGTAGATTCAGGACTTTACCCCTATATTCTCTATATCCCACGCTATTCCTACATATCCCAATTAATCACTCGACTATTAAAATCACTTTCTAATTAAATGATCTAAATCGCACTCATCCATAAAATTTAACGCTAAAAATTCTTTTGATTAACTTTATAATAAATTTTTTTTTATACTTTAAAATTTATTAATTTTGTGCCTTGAGAAATTGGAAATCTTTTTCAGGAATTTCAGAAAATTTCTTCTAAAGTTATAGTTAAAAAATTTTCTTGTGGGTCTTCTGTCTGTGGGTCTTTTGTCTGTGGTTCTTCTGTCCTTGGGTCTTCTGTCTGTGGGTCTTCTGTCACTACGCCTCTTCCCTATAAGTCCTGATGGATAATCCGGTTGGCAATTTTTATCTGAATGAAGAAGTTAATTTCTTAATAAAAACAGCCAAAATATAAAATAAAATTGTTCAAATAAAACTTTTTTTTGAAAAATTTAATCTTCCCCCTTAGCATCAGATACTTCACAAGATCAAACAATAGAATGTTATTGTGGGACGAGAATGAATGTGAGAAGTGTAAACTTAAAATTAAATACAAGAAATAAGTCCATTTTATATGTTAAAAAAGCCCCAATGTTTACTGTGAAAGGAGGAAAAGTAAAAATTTACCATGCAATATGGCCTGAAATGGAAAGATGTGTGGCGATTAAATTTATAATTAAATCTAATTCTGACACGATGGATGCTGCAAAAAAAGAAATTGATGTTTTTGAACATTTTTATAAAGTGCATAGAAATGGAAAATTTCGTATTATAGACTATTTTGGACAGTAAGTTTTATAATATTTTTGTAATTTCTGAGTTTATCTACCTTGTTTTTTCTCTCAAAATCTCCAGTTTTTAACATTAATGTTTTATTAAAAATATAACTACAAACAGAAAATTTTACCCTCAAAAATATACTAAATTTGATTATTTCTCAGAGATGAAACACAATATAGCATCAATTTCAATGTTGATCACTTTGCAAGTTAATCAATCATCCGGGAGAGTGATCGAGAGTGATCAACCGAGAAAGAATGATCAGCCGGGAAAGTGATGAACATTGAAATTGATCAACTGGGGGTTGAAAAATTATTTTTTATCACATTGATATCAGTTTTAGGCAAGATTCATTTTTCTCGTTGGTGACCAAAAGTTCAGTGACCAAAATTCCGTATTTTGACTTGGTGACCAAAATTCCAGTGACCAAAATTCCGTACACTGTAATAATTTCCTTAATTTCTTAAGTGAGGATAAGTCAGTTATGGATCAGAATCTTCAAGTATCGTCAATTGTTATGGAACTGGGAGGAAATAATTTATTAGCATATTATGCTGAAAGTATAGGTGAGCAAAGCGATGATGAGCTGTTGACAAGTGATGAACCAAACAATGCTGAGCTGTTGACAAACATTTTAATAAGCGCGGCTGAAGCACTCGATCAATTCCACAAACGTATTTTTTAATTATATTATTCGAATTTTACAAAATATACAGTAATTTTGACAATTTTTCGGGTTGGGTTACTAATCGAAAAATCGGGGTTTCAGTTTCGTGTAACATGTGTTTAGAAATTTAAAGTTTGCTCGTATTTGTGATATGAGGCTATAATTACATAGTTGGAATAATAAATGTCATGACGGATTTTGAATAAAAGGCAGCAATTACTTCCGTGTCCGGACAATGCGTCAGTGAACAATGCGGCAGTGGAACTAAAGATATGATATAAACATTAGGAGTATTTAAAAGGGGATTTTGGGGTTTAAAAGAGATATAGAGAGATTTGTTGCGATTTAGGCCGATATCTCGGCCTTAATATATGTTTGGGAGGATTAACAGAGATATTGTTTAGTTGGATTAAGATGGAGATCAGCCGATTTGGAGAGATATCAGTGAATTTTTATCTCTTTATATCATCACTTTTAATCACTTTATATCAATACTATCCGATTGTCCACTGACGCAAAGTCCACTGACGCATTGTCCGGGAGCCATTACTTCGGATCTAAATAGTTAGGGACCAAAATGATTTTTAACAACATAAAAACTCAAACGTTTTACAATCAATTTTTATTTATAGGAGGCTTTGTACATTTGGATATAAAATCTGAAAATTTTGTTAGTACTCATGAAAAAGATCAAAACGGTTCTCTGGTATTCAAATTGATTGATTTTGGTACTTCGGAATTTGTGGGTAATCAGGGTGTTATAAACTTGCAAAAAAAAGTCATGGGGACAGATATATACATGGCACCAGAAATTTTTGATAAAAAATCTGTTTGGGTAAATTTATTTTTTATTTAAATATAATGTTGAAATAGCGATAGATTTAAGTGTTAACCTCACTATCGCTATGCGACGTTATCTGAATCATTAGTTAATGGGGAGAAATTAAAGTGAGAGATTAGCAACAATTTTAACAAATAAATATTTTAAGGTATCTCCCAAAGCAGATGTTTACTCATTCGGAGTGCTTATCTATAAGTTGTTATACAGTAAACAAGAACACCTTGAAGTTTTAGATTTTGAAAAGCTCGGAAATTTTAATCAATTGGACACGCTTATTGTGGCATGTTTGCTAAATTATAATTGATAATTTTTCTTAAAATAAATTTTCTAAAAGCCGAACAAATTAGAGAAATATTCCCCCACCTATCTCCTTTGGAAAACTATAATCTTTATAATTTCGAGCCTCTTTAATTTCAATCAAACCTCACAGAAGGAGGATTAACTTAACACCATGACACATAATTGTATAAATTATAAATAATTTTTTCGGTTTCTATTCAATGTTTTATCGGAAACAAGTCTCTAAAGATATTTAGCCCTCTTTTATCCTGTACATCTTGAATCTACAGAAAATAAGAATAAAATTTCAGGCATGCACACGAGAGCATGCAACTTCTCGCCCAACAATGAAGGATGTTGTTCGTTTTCTAACTGGAAAAATCAACAAAATTTGAATGAATATTTTGTGAACGAGCTTTTTAAAAACGATGCTAAATGATAGAAATCGAAAAGTTTTCTTTTACCTCACATATGAAACACCTCTTTATTAAACACCTCTTTTTACTAAACTCTTATTATTATTACATACCGTTATGTTTCTAATAGAAGCACTGGGCTTATATTTTTCAAAACCCCTCATTGAGTGGGCTTCTATTAGGGCATGGGCTTCTATTGGAGATTGGGCTTCTATTAGAAACATTAATTTATCCTTGTTTTAGTCATTTATTTAGTTTTATTTACCTTTTTTTCGAAATAGTCCTGATGAATTGAGTTCAATTCCGTTATTATTGTTTTAAAAATATTTTGTTTACGGGGAGTTAATATCACCTATTTGAACTATTTTGGCGTTTTAGAACCCAAAATAGGTTGATACCTATTTTGAATGTTTTCATAATTTTTTCACTTTTTTGTCACTTATTTTCATAAAATTTCGCTTTTTTATCAAAAATTTGTAAAATACCTTATAATTCTTCAAAAATTTTTTGCTTCTTTCACTTCTAAAAAAGGATAAAACTAAAAAAAATTTACTAAACATTTTTGATTTTTATCTTTCTTTGAGTTATTTAATTTAGTATTTTTAATTTTTTTTGACAAAATCCCAAAATTCACTCTGACGTCCTCAATTTACCACGCCTTTAATTTTATCCCCCCCCCCCTTTTTCAATTGAAGCCCAAAATTCCGAAAAGTTTGAGGCTAACTTTCCTAAATCCTGGAGCCCAACTTTCTAAAGCCCAAATTTCTGGACATTAATTGAATGTCAATAAAGTAAAGCAGCTGGGCTATAGCTATTTTTCTCCTTTAGGTAGTGCAAAAGGTTATTCGGCGGCTGGGAGCGAACCTGCATCTTCATTAGACCGGACTGATGTGTTAGCCATTACAACACGCCGCCTACTGCATAGCCTTAGGAAATAGATAGCTACATATATGCTTTACAATAATTTTTCGAATTGTATTTAAATATACAACTATAAAGGCGTCGAATATCAGTGAATTTCAAATTATCCGCCAACCTAGGTGAGAGATTAAAACTACATTAACCAGGTTATGTAAATAAATACGAATCTTGGGTTGTTGTTTATAGGAACGAATCATGGGCGGGCGAATTATATTTTCTATTTCCTTAATTAACTTCGATATTCCGTATTTATTTTAATATAACGGCATGTCATTTTTATTTTCAACCCTCTTCTAGGGTGTCGTTATAATGGAGACTGGGGTTATAATAGAGAGTGTCTTTATATTAGAATAAATACGGTAACACACATATAATGTATTTTTAAATAATAAATAAAATTATATCATTCTAAAAATTTTACTTTCCATAGGAATCAAAATAAATGTTTAAAAAATGGTTATGTAAAAAAAATATAAGAGAAAATATTTAATATAAATATTTAATCTTTCCCAAGAATAATGTTGACTTTAAAAATTCTCTTCTTTCTCAAATTTCTTTCAAATCCTCTTAATATCTCTTTTTAATTGTCCTACTAAAATAAATTTTTAAAATTCTTATTAATATAAATATTATTGTTATTTTATAGATTTTCGGGGCTCGTGCAAGATACATATGTATAAGCAAAGAATATCAAAATTTACTTCCAAATTAATAAATGGATTCGCTTCAGGTCTCTCCGAAATGAAAAAATTTGGCGCTGGTCTAGTTTATGCGTCCAATTAAACCTTATAAGTCAAATCAAAAAACAATTGAATTTTTCTTAGTATTGCAAAGTTGGGTATGGTTCCAAAACATTCTTCGTGTTCGGGACCTACGCCCACTGGGTCTGGGACCATTTCTTGCCCTATCCCTCGAAATTTCTGAAAGTTATAGCCAATTTTTGAAAATTTTAGAAAAACGATTGTAACTTTAAAAATTTCGAGGGATAGGTGAGGAACGGTCCCAGACCCAGTGGGCGTAGGTAACGAACATGAAGAAATGTTCTGGAACTAACGCCAACTTTGCAATACCAAGAAAAATACAATTGTTTTTTGATTTGACTCATAAAGTTTGATTGGACGCATAAACTAGACCAGCGCCAAAAATTTTTTACAGCCGCTATCTGCAAGTTAAAAAAACACGCAATTTTACGCAATCTGCAATTGCGGCCAACCCGGAACTCTTACACTGCCGCTTTATTTCTTTCGTTTATTATTTGTTCCGCGTTCATCCGACTTTCGTCTACTGCTTAAAAATGCGTCATGGCAACCCTAACACTACGATATGCTTAAAGTTTGTAAAATTTTAACATTTTATAACAATTGGCTTTTAATAAAGGAGGCCTATAAAGTCCTTTTATAAAAACATTTTTTGTAAATTTTGGCTCTGAATTTTTTGTGCTCAGAAAACTGCAAAAATTATCCCAAAACATCAAAATTATAATACTAAAATAACATATAATTCTAAGGTTCCTGAAGAGATCTCCGGTTTTTGAGAAGTTTTTAAATGTATCAGGGATTCTGCCAACAAAATATCAAAATTACCGATTTCGGGAAACGGGAATTCCCGACAAAAATAAATTTCCCGATTCGGATTTCATCACTTTTCAGCGTCGGACATGAAAGGAAAATTCCCGATCTTTTCAAGAAATGTCGGTAACGATTCCCGACCCATAAAACGTCGGGAATTCCCAATTTCGGGAATTCGGGAATCGGGTCGTCAGGATCCCTGAACTGTATGGTATTCTAGTTATTTTTAATACAATTTTAAATAATTCTTTGACCCACCTCATTTTTGTTTCCTTCATTTGTTCCTTGTGACTATAATTATTAATTATAAAACAATTGTT